TGTAAGCACCGAATTGATGATCACTGATCATTTGACTAAGGGCATGCCACCATTGAAATTCAACGGTCATGTAGAGAAAATGGGACTTGATTCCACTATGTAATGGTATATACAATTTTGTATGAAAACTCTTATTATTGTAATATTTTCTCATATTCATGTGCACCTTAAGTTCTTTAAGAAAATATATTTGTGTCGGACCAATAATAAGACATATGGTCTTTTCATTAAGTATTATTACAATATAAAGAATAATTCTTGGGAACCTAAATATATTGTAATACATGGAAGATACTACTCGTTATCAGAGGACTCGTCGCCATGATTCATGTATTTGTTTCTTTAGAAAGACAATTGATGGAATTAAGTTGAGACATTAGGTTGAATGTATGGACCAAGTGGGAGAATGTAGACATTTCACATTCCAGACCTTTCCCATTCCCACAGCTTCAACGGTCATATTGATGGTCCAACATTCATGGAGTTTTCAGTTTCAACATTATGAGTTTTAATTTCTTAATTGATTAAAAAAATTGGTAACTTAAACCATAACTTGATGAGAGTTGTGACTATATAAATGGATGGGTTTGGTCCTTGAGCTCGACACCGAAAATACAAGATACACCATCAATTAAGGAGTATTGAGAGCTTGGAAGCACCATACCTGGTACAAAGGAAAGCTTCTTGAAGGACACCAATGGCTGGAGGTATGATTTATGGGCATTCAGTTTTTTCGATATGTTTTTCCGCCTTAAGTATTTGATCGATTTTCAGTCATAAAATTTATTTCATTCTATATATTTTAAGATTTGTTTAGAAGGAAAATATAATAATTTGTTAAATTAAAATTATATTTTCCTTATGTTAGACTTCGGCATATCTAGAATATCTTTTGACTTATCTTTTGATAAGATGTTTTTCATGTTTATTGCAGAGTTTTAAGTAAGGAGTAATTCTGATCTTTTGATAATTGCTTTACCTATAAATATGGTAATTAATCAAGATTGGAATTCAAGCTTTGAATAATTTTTCAGCCCTTGTTCTTATAAGTTGCAGCTCGGCCAAATTCAAAATCATAGAGGAGTGATGATTCAATGATGATTTCAAAGTCAACGTGTTTTTCAGGCCTTTGAATAATTCAAAACAAATGGTGCTTAACGTACAATCCCATCTTTTGATCGAGTTACTTGGCGTGAAGTTAAGAACGGGGAGTGAATGTTGCTCATAAAGTCAAGACCGATGAGTTTAATTCAACTTGATCAATAAGTCAAAAGAAAAAGATACAAAGGGAGTTGTTTTTGGTTTCTTTTGATTATTCTTTGTTAATTTTGTGAAATTACAAAATCAAATACTATTGTATTTTTTATCAATTAGTGGATTGTTTTACTCATAGCATGAGGCTCGTGAATGTTTCCATTCGAGGTTTACGAAGTTATATCTTGTGTTCAAGTATTAATCTACTGTTTAAATTTCGCATCTAGTTAAAGCTGCTTGAACACAGGGCCGGCCCTGAGATTTTGGGTGCCCTATGCGAGATTTTAAAATGGTGCCCATTTCAAGTAATAAAAAAAATCAGTGTTTTAAAAATTGGCCGGGTCTTGCCGGTCGAATCGATAAAACCAAGAACCGTTCTTAAAAAGGGGTCGGTTGTAGGTTAATAACCGGATATTAGAAACCCGTCAAAAAATCACTAAACTGGCCAATACTAACCCTTAAACCGATTATGGTTTTTTCCGTGTTTCCAAAACCTTTTTAATTTAGATATAAAGTCTATAACTTTTAACTATTGGGCTCAACCATGAAGTTTATAACTTTAAAAATCAGTGTTTTAAAAATTGGCCAGGCCTTGCCGATCGAATCGGTAAAACTAGCAACCGTTCTTAAAAAGGGGTCGATTGTAGGTTAATAACCGGATATTAGAAACCCATTTAAAAATCACTAAACCAGCCGGTACTAACCCTTAAACCGATTAAGATTTTTTCCTTGTTTCCAAAACCTTTTTAAATTAGATATAAAGTTTATAACTTTTAACTATTGGGCTCAACCATGAAAATGAAAGCCCCGTGCCCAGTTTTGATAGACAGGCGCCATTTAGTTTAATAGATTCATTGCCTTTAACGTGTTTCACTAATTTTCGATGTGGGATTCCACTCAATTCCAATAACACTATTTTCCAATGTTTGCATGCTAAACTTTCAAATTTTTGAGCCCAACAAAAGTAAATAAATTTTTCATCTTAATATTTTTATTTATTCATTTTTTAAACTCAATCTAAAATTCACTTTATTATTGGGATAATAATGTTAGACGTCACTTTCGAATAAGCTCATTCGATTACAAATTTAACAAAGCAAAAATTATTTCGATAAATAGATTAATAGCCTTAAAGTGTCGAGAATAATTGTATAATAATAAATTTAATTAGTTAAAATAGATTTGTTTTTACTTTGAATTAGTATGAAAATAAAAAAAATTATTCTTATTGTATTTTTTGACCCTTGACCTTTTCCTGGTCGATGTCCGGGCCGGTTTTAAAAACATTGTAAAAAATACATTTAAGAAAAAAATTATTTTAATAACATTATTTCATTGCAAAAATATGATATTTAAATATTTGTTTATTTNTGCAGTGAGGTCTTGGCTTTGGAGTGATGTGGGTGAGGAGATGGTGGTTGTTGGTCTCGGTTTGACAGTGTCGAGAGTTGGTGAGGAGATGGTTTGAGCAGTGAGTTTGGTTTGACTTGGTGGTTTTGGTTTTGAGTGATGTTGGTGAATGGTGAACTGTTGAATGCTAGAAATTGATATTCTAGCATCAATGGTGACTTTCCATTCACCTGGGATGTTGTTGATGCTAGAAATTGATGTTCTAGCATCAATGGTGAGTTTCCAAATTGAGAGAGACGAATGTTTTCTTACCAATTTTGAGTTAGCTGCGTGAGGTGAGGAGTGGAGAGAAATGAGGATAAATAAAATAGTAAATTTAGGGCACAAATTTCTAGGTGGGTAATTGGGCCAAACAGTTGGGCTTTTGGAAATATTCTAATTTGGGCATAAGGTAATTGGGTTAAAATGATTTCGTTGTTGGACTTGTATAATTGGACTTAAATATTGGGCTCTAAATATTGGACTTGAAATTATTAAAATTGGATCCAAATAAAATAAATCGAAATTGATACTAAAATAATTATTCGATATTTGGACTTGATCGAAAAGATTTAAATTTGTTTTTGTAACGGTTAGGCAAACGCGCTTTCTCTTTAAAATTAGGGTTAAAGTTTAGCGACACATTTTTCGAGAAACAATTTTATATTATTTAAAAGTTCTTGGTCGCTACAATAGAGGACGTGATGCTTCAATGATGATTTCAAAGTCAACGTGTTTTTCAGGCCTTTGTATAATTCAAAACAAATGGTGCTTAATGTACAATCCCATGTTTTGATCGAGTTACTTGGTGTGAAGTTAAGAACGGGGAGTTCTTAATCCCCGTTCTTATTTGAATACAAGAGGAATGTTACTCATAAAGTCAAGACCAATGAGTTTAATTTCACTTGATCAATAAGTCAAAAGAAAAAGATACAAAGGGAGTTGTTCTTGGTTTCTTTTGATTATTCTTTGTTAATTTTGTGAAATTACAAAATCAAATACTATTGTATTTTTTATCAATTAGTGGATTGTTTTACTCATAGCATGAGGCTCGTGAATGTTTCCATTTGAGGTTTACCACGTTATATCTTGTGTTCAAGTATTAATCTGTACTGTCTAAATTTCGCATCTACTTAAAACTGCTTGAACACATAATATCTTACATGTTGCAGTTAAAATCATTAGAAATTGATTATAGGAAGTTCTGATTGTTTGTCGTCCAACATAGCGAAATTAATTTTAATTATTTAATTTGTCCAGGTTTTAAAATTTACAAATAATATTCATGAGACTGTTAAGAAACATAACATTCATATGTAAATGAACTAGACATTTAACTAGAGCGTGTTTAGTATGAAAAATATATAAATAAGATTTGAATTTACTCTTCTTCTTTAGTTTTGTTAGTGTTGTACGCTTAACCTTTTTAAACAAGTCATAATCTATTGATTAATGTTAGAAGCACGTTTGCAGGTGCAATGAATAAATTAAGACGAAAATGTAAATTGAGCGATCAAAATGGGAACTGATTGAATAACCAACATAAACTAATTATGCGAGTAGGGGTGTGACGTCCCCTGAAATTTCTCCTTGCAAAGTATTTGGCTCAATAAAAACAGCAGAACAATCTAATTGAACACCATACTATTCAATTTGGGTGATGCTACATGTACCCACAAACTTTCACACAATCTTTTACACCCCCCTCACATGGAGGGGGGCCCATGATTATTTTATTATGTGTGGACCCCCCTCCATGTGAGGGGGTGTAAAAGATTGTGTGAAAGTTTGTGTACACATAGCATTATTCATTCAATTTTGATCTGTATTAGATAAATCTAAGGACAAACTCCATTATCCTGAAATTATCTTAATATAATTTGATTAATTAATTATGAAATTTTGAGTCTAATGTCTGCTATGTGACAAAGAGTCTATATTTGTCTCATGTTCATAAATTATTTATAAATCAATCATTTCATATTTCGAGGTTCGAGAATACTACACACTTATCCACTCTCATTTATATTTATTTATAATTTAACCAATTTATAAATACTTCCCAAACATGCTCCTATCTAGTATTGAAGTGCTGAGAACAAATATATAACTATATCAAAGAACTTGTTGTTTTAATAGTTAGCGAAAGAACAAAGAGATAACATGAATGATGGGATAAATTAACTTAAAGATACAAAAAAACTTTAACCGAAGTAAGATGGATATTAACTTAATATAATCAAGAAGTAAAAATAAGATGCTTCAACACTGACATTGGAAAGTTATTCACTAAATAAAAAGAAAACCCAACTCTTGACATCAATAATGCAGGTGGCGGTTTAGGCAATGAGCTAATCTTAGTCTCCTGAGTTCGTCCCACTAATATCCTCTAACATCCTCACTACCTCTGACACTTTTGGTCTTTGCTCGGGAACACTTTTAACGCAATTGAACGCTATCTGCAAAAACTTCACCATTGCTTGCTCCATATGGGGATACCTCAACAACTCTATATCAAACACTTTGACAGTCCAATCCTCACGAAGAACAGAAGAAACCCACCGGACTAGCTGAATATCCTTTTCGTTATCTTCAGAAAGTATAGATGGCTTTCCAGTAATAAGTTCTAGAAGCACTACTCCAAAGCTGTAGACATCAGAAGCTTGGGACAATTTCTTTGTGTCTGTGACTTCTGGGGCACGATACCCAGAAGATCGACTATCTAGCACAGAGGTTGTACTCACCAATGTTGCCAATCCAACATCAGAAACACAGCCATATCCTTGAGCAGCGAGGAAAATGTTTGAGGTTTTTACATTTCCATGTATAAGATTCTGGCCAACTTGTGTATGGATGTGAGCAATACCCCTTGCCGCCCCAACTGCAATTCTTAGTCGAGTTTCCCAATCTAAAGGAATTTTATTCTCACCAATTTTTCCTGCAAAGATGATAAAATTCATAAGATTACAATCACTTGCAAAAATATTATCTACAAAAGGAAGCAATTATATTGCTATGGATGAGCTGGTACTAGACATTTGTGTGCCTGAACAGCATGACATTTTTTTTACTACAAATGTTGTAAACCCAACTCATTTCCAACGTTAACCATCTTCGAGAATACAAACAAGCATTTTAAAAGTGACCTAGTATACCAACTGTACCTAAGTTGTCACTCCAGATTACAAGTTAATGGGATAACAATATAACTGAAAGAAAAGGTTTTGCTGTAATCTACTGATGATGAATGAAATTAAAGGAGTGATATATCTTTCCATATTTCATTAGTTACTCTTTACAGAGCCATCTGCCTACTGAAAAAATGTATCTAAAAATAATGTTGCTGTCACAGGATCGTGATTTCAAGATCTACAGGTCATATGCAAAAAGGGAAAGTAAGATATTTAAGTTACCATGTAGCATGGAAGATGCACTCTTCTCCCCATAATAATCATACACCATAAGTTTTTCATCATGCGAGTAGTAGTATGCCGTTAATGTAGCAACATTTTTGTGTTTCATTCTCCCAATAACCTCCACTTGCTGCTGAAATTCTTTACTTGTAACAATAACTTCCCTCAATCGCTTAACCGCAATTGTACTCCCGTTATCCAGTGTTGCCTTGTACGAAGTCCCTATTGTTCCCCTCCCAAGAACCTCCGCTGAAGCCCGCAACATATCTTGAAGGTCAAAATCAGGATTAACACCCTCAATGAACACAAGATTCGATCTTGTATTCATCGTACTAATATCCTCAATCATCTTCACTACTTGAGCCATTTTAGGTCTCCTCCTTGGGGATTTTGCAACACAACTCATCCCTATTTCCAACGTCTTTATCATTTGCTCCTCTAAGCTACGGTTCCTTAAGAGCTCCACATCAAACACATTAGCAGTCCGCTCCTTACCATTGACAGAATTTACCAATTTGACTAGGTCAACAGCCTCATTGACACCTATAGCATGTAACGGGGGCTTTCGAGTGAGAAGTTCAAGCAGGAGGATTCCAAAGCTATAGACGTCAGATGCTTGGGACACATTCCGGGTGTTCTTGACTTCTGGGGCATGGTACCCAGCATTTCGCATGACTGGTGATGGAATCATGCTTGCCAAACCAAGATCAGACACACAGCCATACTGGTTTGAATTGAGGAAAATATTTGATGATTTTATGTTTCCATGGACAAGCTTCCCACCACTTTGCTTGTGAATGTGAGCAATACCCCTTGCTGCACCCACTGCAATTCTTAGTCGCGTTTCCCAGTGTAATGGAGCCCGATTCTCACCAGTTTTTCCTGTGTAGATGAGAAAATGCATTGGACTGTATAGTAACATTTTCATATTTCCCATACTGGAAGCCAATATATTGATTGAGGCTTAGATGTAGTAGGTGTTAAAAGGATCGTGCTAAAATTAACAATGAGTTACAAATTTGTTACACAGAAGAATCAAACACGTCATTCAGCATATTGAACCTGCTAATTAGATGCTTAAATTTAGTGTCTCTATAGAATACTTCAACGAACAAAGCCATCTGAAAAAAAAAACCTGGTATGAGGTAAATATTTTAAAATCAAGACAGCCCTATCGTATGAGACTGCCACCGTAAATGTTGCTAGGTGATACTGACAACATATACAACATTAAAACATAAAATTATATATTGATAAATGTTATGTCGTACAAATGAACCATTGTTGATCAACGCAAGAACCTATGGACGTGAATGATTCATCAGTTTATGGACAAAAAATGAGTTTTGTTTTACTTTTGCCAGTCAAAGAAATGCATGTATTCGCAAGGAAGTATGATTAGAATTTTTCTTCAAATGTATAAAAAATGTGGGAACAAGAAAAGAAGTCCAGGAGTTCAACATACCATGTAACATTGCAGATATACTGCCATTAGAGTAATGATCGTACACCATGAGCTTCTCATCTTTGGAAAAATAGAAAGCCCTCAATGCAGAAACGTTTTCATGTCTTACATTTCCAATAACATCCATGTGTTGTCTGAACATATTTTCTGGCATATTTGCTAAATTCAATCTTTTGAGCACAACTGTTATTCCACTATCCATTGCTGACATATATGCACTTCCAAATGTTCCCTTCCCTAGAAACTCTGCAGTAGACCTCAATATATCGTCAAGGTCAAAAACAGGAGTAAAACCCCGAACAAATACCAGCCCAGAAAAATCGAAAGGCACATCAACTGTGCGTTGAGGTAGCTGCTGATACGGAGATGAACCTCCGGGTCTTGAAAAATCGAAAGGCACATCAAGGTCTTCAGAATCCAAACTGGAATCAGATGATATGGAGCTGATACTTGGGCTCCGGTCATGAAACATTTGCCATATTTCCTCTTTCCGGATCACAGCTCGCACCAATCTCTCCCAATTATCATAGTTATTGGACATCTCTCTTTCAGCTTCGAGGCTCTGAAAATCCTCTGGAGAAAGTTAGCATTGAAAAAATGATCCAAGTCAACGCAAGTATTATTCAACAATTAACGCGTAATCCCAATATTCAGTTGCTTGTTCACATTGACCTTGCTGGATGGCATTTTCTTCTTTCTTTAAAAAATTATACAGTCTCGCTCATAAGTGCTGGACTCAATATAGGCCTCAGAAAAGGGTGGATAAATCCTCCCTGGTAGTTATTACCCAGTAGCCCCAAAGTAGAATTCCACAAAACAGAAAATCCTATGAATATTAGAATGCAACAACCTCCAAAAACAACTTCTGGGAAATTACAGAAACCTGTAAATAATCATAGAGTCAAAAAAAGGGGGTCAAAACAGGACTACAAGAAAAACATTAACTAGTGGTCAAAGGCCGGATTTCCTCGCCATTGGCAAAATCCTGGTAACCCTCTAGAATTTTCCCATTTTCTTCCCCCTTTTTCCCTAGGTCTTTCCCTTGCGTGTGGAACGAATTACTATCTTGTTTCTACCATTTTAATGACAGAAAAATGTTATTATATTAAAATTTCTACTTTCAAAATTATTACATTTTAATTTTCAATTTTGATTTAATTAAAATCTTAATTTATAATATAACATACACTTAAATATTTTAATGGAGGTTATGAATTAATTAATTTTACATTATTGTGAGAGTTGATTTTTCCAATAAAAAGGACCTTGATTTCATTGTTAGATACATCATAAAAAGACGAGGAAAACACAATTTAAAAGAATATCAAATATACATTCTGTATTATATTATTTTGATAACTCGATAAAGACTCATTCTTTATCTTTCTGTAGTCATGCTCAGAGAAAGAAAATTGGTTGTAAGCCATATGAATTTTATTTTGGAGCCTACAGTATCTTTGACTTAAATCCCTAAAACTTGTTTTCTAATTCTATACTTTTATTTTATGTTTATGTTATAGTTAAATTATATTTATTAACGTTATATTTATGTGATTTAATTGATAAATATTTACAACCAAATCATCCATTATTCCCAACGCAACCCACCAGTAAAGATTGAAAATTTTAGAAGTTTTATCTTTTGAAAAGTTGCTAAAGAATTTTTTGGAGGTGAAACACAAAATTTCTTGATAAAGAAATTGTTAGGAAAATGGCGTCAACATCACCATGTCCAAATTCTTCTCCCAAAGCATTCCATCGTTTCCCCCGTTCAATTCCTCAGTTCCTCCTCCACCATCCTCGCGCCCCACGTCAACCACCCTCACCGTATTAATCACCACCACCATTGCCCACTTTACATTCTTTACCACCGCAGTGGCTTCATTCCAATTATTGCATCCAGAGATCCTGCCTTCCCTTGTGCTATTAATGATGGTGAAAAGGAAATATTTAAGTTGGGAAATTTCTCTCTTGTTGGTGGTTTGTTTATTTGTTGTTTTTGCATAACTTTGTGTTGGCTGTTAATACAACTTTGTGGACCTGTGAGTTGTGGAAAATAAAAGGCAGAAATCGTACCAACGGCAGAAGGAAGAAAGCTAGGGGAGCTGGGAAAAAGAAAACCGGGATAGAGATGGGTGCAAATCTGATTGATTTCAATTGATTGATGCAGCAAATTTTTTACATTATAAAAGCTGAAATTTAAACTTACTACAATACATAAAATCAACCCTACACTTGTCTATTTTACAGTCCTTGGATTAGACAAAATAAAGAAATACTTCTTTGACTTTTTTTAAACACGTTACACGTCAACATTCTCCCCCTTAATGTGTTTTTCTTGAATGCCAAGCT